CCGTTACCTCGCAACCCCAGCAAGGCTCCACCCGTAAGCTAGCAACCTGAGCTGTCTTTCCAGCATCTTTGGTCTGCTGGTTTTATCGCCGTATCAGCTGCTGGAAAAGACAAGCGATTGGTTGCTGCATTCTTGTTGGTTATACAGGAGGCTCCACTTGTGCTTTTCAGACATGTCTGATTGTATAGTTTCTGGCAGCCATTGGAACGTGCGAGTGTAAATGTTGAGTTAGGGGGTGTGGCCAACAGCAGCTAATCTGGATTTAAAGTGGCATAGGCCCTAAAAACAGCTCTTTCTGAAAGGTAGAACTGACCATGATTGATGATTTTGCGCAAAAAAAAGTTCTGAACGTTTTACATCGCCCATAAACCTCTCCTAATCTGGTCAAGGAAGAATTATGCATCACCTTTAAAGGCCACATTTTAGTTTAATAACTTTGACTATTTATTGCAAGTGCTTTCAAGCAAAGAGTGATTAAAATACTGTTTTTATTACTCAGAATGAATTATATTTCTTTCTGTCAGGCCCAAAGGAATGTGCAAACAGGATGTCTTTTTCTTTTAATAAGCCAAATGTGTGAAGGAGTTATGTTTAAGATTCACAGCGGTTTACTTCGCCTTATCCAAAGTTTCATGAATTTATGTCAGAAATAGTGAAAATGTTGGTCTACTTTAAGTAAACAAAGCAAAGAAATGTCCTTGGAAGAAAAAATCCTTGATTATCTGGAATGAAAATTACTTAAGAGCTAATTTAATTTATGAACAGCAGAAGCCAGATCATTTAAACTTGAGGCTAATTGAAAGAGAGGCTTAAATTTGTTTGAGAGCATAAAAAATTAGGCTTGAACAGCTGAACAAAGGTCAAGTGATGAATCTAGATCCATCATGACACATCAGAGCTGAAGTGATGCTGATCTCATGTCTTGTAACTACCGTGGGAGCCTGTGGGGGGCGCTGTGATGATCTGCAGCCACTTCTGCTCACCAGTTAATGGTCCGTTTTAAAGCTAGACTATTATAAAAAAGTATGGGATTCTCATATGATGATAATTGCTCATAAACTTGGGTATAAAAACTAGTCTAATGATGTTTAATGATTAATCGGATTAATCGCGATTAATCGATTAATGAAATAATCGTCACCTGAATTAGATTAATCCTTAATCGGAGTAGACGGACAGTAAACTATGCCATTTGATGAAAAGCAATCCTCAAAGCAGCAATTAAGCCAAAACTCTACAAAAAATATAGACATTTTACATTTTAGATTAAAAAACCTTCATATTTGAATATGTTCTACCCAGAACTCAAAGTGTCGTTGTTTTACCTTCACCTGGTTCTAAATCTGTCAAATTGTCCTGTTAAGCATCTTTTGTTGTCTAGTTATTAATTGGTTATTTGAAAAAAATAGTAAAAAGATCAGCCTTACATTTTATTGATAAGCAGAAACGGCATATCTAAGTATTTACTTCTCTGTTTTATTGCATTTCAGGCTTTAAAATATTCGTTATTTAGAAAAATAACCTTTTTAATTTAGAATAAAATAGTGTTTAAAATGGGAAATATGCCATTTTTAAAAAATCTGATTAATCGATTATTTGATAGAAATTTAATTTATGATATGCATGAACGTTTGGCAAAATATGTAGTATTGCGTACTATCAGAGACTCTTAATGCATGGCTATATATAATGGATAGTGGTTGAAGTGACCTAGTTTCTTTGGTTTTTAATGAAGGAAAAAAAACTGTAAAATCTAAATGTTTGTTTGGAAACTGGTGTAATTTGGAATATAATGTGCAGGAAGTTGAGCATATTCCCCCTGTTTTTATTTCTGTAATCAGTTATCTCTGCATAATGCTGAAAATTAAGAATATTTTGAAAGTGTTGCTCATTGAAATGTCTTCCCACTGCATATCCGAATGGAAATCAAACAAACGTACATTTGGATGAGTTTTCTTCGATTTCTTGTTCTCTTCTGAAATGAAACACGGAGAATATAATGTTGCACAGCAGAGAAGCTGAGAAGTGTCAGAATTTCCTCTCCTATTTGAAGCATAAAACCTCCTGCAGAGCTCCTCCACGTTGGGCTTCCTTTGCCTTAAAAACGAGGGGTATGCATCATGTGCTGTGAACTGAACCGACTATATTTCCTGCTGTTTCTCAGAGCCGTTCTATTTCAATGTATTGCACATCAGAGTAAAAGGACAAAAAAAATCTCGTTTCTTATTATTCATTCGCTTCAACTGTTTCTAAAGTTTAAAAACTCTTTTAATCATTGTGTTTTGATGCTGAAGTTCAGCCAGACTGTGTAAAATAGCCACTCAAATGACACATAATGGCCAGATCTCACATTTAAGACCTGCTGAGGTAATAGCCAGAGAATTACAACTTAGAGGGCTTTAATGAGGTTAAACACCACGCCTTAAAAATAACCCTGCATGTCACTGTGTCCTGTTCTTCACTGGTGGAGGCTAATTGGCTGATAAGGGTCAATTTTACTCCAGAATGAATTTCTCACCTGAACGTTGCTGGTGTTTCTCTTTGTTCGCTCCGTCTGGAAGGCTTGACCCATTCGGGTAATGGTGCTCCAAAACGGCTCAAAGTTTAGCATCATTTGGTCATAAATAACCAAAGAAACCATAATTATAGATGTGCAACTCCATAAAACTTAAATTAGGAGGCGAGTCACAAAAACAAATGAAGCCAAAGGATGCAGATTTTTAGTTTAAACTGTTTGCTCCTCTTTTGGCTGTGAAATTTATTTATAATTCCTACAAGAATCTTAAATCTGATTTGAGGTTTTTCTCTTTACTTCTCTACATATTTATCAACTTAGATAAAGAACCAGCTGCTGCATTGCTTTGTGACATCCTTTCCTGAGTTGTATAACTCTCCTTTAAGAAAGAAAACCAAGTATTTTTTGCTTGCAAATATTTTAGTACAATTGAAATAAGACAAAACTAACTTGCAAGTAATTTTTCAGCAAGAAATATGAGCTTGTTTTAAGTCAATAATTCATTAATATTGATTTTTTTAAAAGTTATAGTTCCACTGGAAGATTATTTTACTTATAACATGGCAAAAATGTCTTGTTATATTTAACTTATCTTGTTGAAAATTTAATTGAGTTAGTTTTGTCTTATTTCAAGTGTACTGAGGTATTTGTACTAGAAACTAGAGGAAAAATACTTTAAGATTTTGTGTTTTTGCAAGATTTTAAATGTTTCCCAACCAGTTACGTAGTAAAACTGAGTCAAAATTGTGAGATTAAAGCCAAATCTTTTTTTCTGGTGGCTCTAATCCTCTTTCGTATGTTTGTTAATTAGAAAAAAAACATGAAAAATATTCTAACAATTTTATTGGGTGCAACAGACCTTGATTTGATTTCACGAGTCACATAAAATCAATGCAGCTAAAACATTCTTTTAATTTATAATTTATTTTTTAAACTTTACTCAGTTGTTTTAATAAGAATCCATGACTTTTTGGTTTTTGTAGGTACAAATGTTTATTTTCTGTTAAGAGGGAGCCATTTCTCTCCACTGTCACCACATACTTGCTCAGTATGAACCACTTTCCTTTAGCTGAATTTATGCATGTTTTTTTTAGAAACCCCCACATTCATAATCTAATGTTTCTGCATCTGAACCGCTTTTAATGAAATGCAGCTTTAAATAATTTCCGAAGAGAAACCAAATATGTTTCTTGGTAATTTAGTTGGTTCTCTACAAAGCGTCTTTCTGGTCCGTAGCTTAATTTTATCCGATGTTTGAATGCAGATAGTATTCAAAGAGAGTCAGATAATGAACAATGGAGCCGTCAGCCATCAAAAGTTAAACCAGCCTTTCTCCTTTAGTCTTGTTTCTCATTTATGTCAGAACCGAAGGTTGGTCCGCTGCCAGGACAGAACAAAGTACACATTTTCCTTCATCGTGTCCATCTTGTCTAATTGTGTTCAGAAATTAATTCTCAATCCAGAGTTCAGAACATCCATATTTTGTAATGTTACAGCTAGAATTCAAACGATTAATCAGATTAATTCTGATTAATCGTTTATTGAAATAATCAAGTCAAGTAATTTAGAAATTGATTAATCCTTACCTGGAGCACACAGACTCAAAAAAGGGCAATTGCTGAAAAAACAATACATTCACACCAGTAATCAAGCTACAAAAGTGCAAATATATACACATTTTGCATTAAAGATAATAAAAAAGTGTTTTCCTATAAATATATTATACCCAGAACTCCTCAAGTTTCTTATAATCAAAAATATTAAGTACAACACAAAGTTTTCATCCTTTTACAAACTAAAAAGCCGACATGTTGCATCCAAATCAGCTTTTTTCCAATTTATTAAACTTGACTAAAAATAGCCAGAGTTTTGAAAGGAAGTGACCCAAACGCTGCTCTTGTTCTGAGAATAAATTTATTCACTCGAGCCCCAAAAAATAGAAAACAAGCTGCCATACAATCAATAACACTCCTACAAAAACTAAAATTGTGTAATTTATTTGCTTGGTTTTAGTTTTATGTTGGGTTTTTTGGCCCGTGAGTATTTTTGACCCACCTGACAAAACGTTTGGACACCTCTGCACTAAAAGGATGTTGTCCTTTTGTGCTTTTTAAAAAAAAATAAACTTAATTTTTTTTATTCACATCTTTTAATGCATTTCAAAAACTGTGTAAAAAAGGAGTAAATGGAAAAATTTGCAGAATTTACCAATTTTTGTCTAATTAATCACCAGAATAGTCGATTAATCGCCAGAAAAATTGATTAATTGATAACAAAAATCATTAGTTATAGCCCTATTTACAGCAGCAAAGTTTGGTGGAAGAAAGAGCTCTAATCAAATGAGAAAAAATATAACCACATAACTTACGCCGCTGTTCAGACGCTCACTATGAAATCTGTTTTGCAAGAAAGAATTTGAAAAACTTTCCAGATGTGAAAAGTATGCGCAGCTATCCACTGAAAGATTTTCATCCTCCTTTGACAGCATTGTTTCTGAAATCCTGACCACAACCCTGAGCTGAGGATGAAAGCATCGAGACCTTCAATCGTTGGCTCGTCTGAGTTTTCTCATGTCTCAGCCGCTTGTGAAATGTCATCATATTTCAGCTCCTTTAATGAAACGAGAACAGAGCGGACAGCTGGCTGGAAACGAAGGACTGTGTGGCTGTAAAGGAGATGAATTGGGAATGTTTGAAGGCCTATTTAAATCTGAGAGTTTCTTGTCTGGCAGCAGCTGATGGTTATTGTCATAATCGATCAGGCCGTTATCGCTCTTGGTCAAAAGTTTTAGCAGTGACGCTAATCTGCTTTGGGTTCTTGTTTTAGAAAAACTATTTGAAATATTTTTTTTCTGTTTAAATATTTTTAACGGATTGAATTTATCAACATTTGGTCATCTTCTTTCAGCTTTTTTAACTTATAATCAGCCTTCTGATCAGATTCTTCTTTCAGATTTATTTTCTATATTGTCAAAACAGATCAGTGCTCTATAAAACACACATGTATTTTTCTGTTTACCTCGAATGATGCAATGATGAAACATGGTGGTGGCAGCATGATGCAGTGGGAATTGTTTTTTCAGCATTGATATAGAAGCTGGACAGAGTTGAGACGGTGGTCGGCGCTAAATACATGGAAGAAAACCTTTTTACAACCTCCTTTTTAGGTGTCAGAATGGCCTAGTCAAAGTTCAGCCTCAAATTTAATTGCTAGTCTGAGGCAAACTTGTTTGCTGCAGCTACAAATCACCATGTAATCTCACTGACCTTGAGCTATTTTAAAAAATTAGTGAAAAATTAAGTCTCTGGAAGTGCAAAACTGAAACAAACTAAATTAAAAATGTCCAAATTTAACTGGAGAACAAATGGAGAGCAAACGCCTGGCACACTTAAAAAAAAACATCAAATTTAGTTGTTGTAATAAGACAAAATGTGATAAAAATCAGAAGAATCGGAATAGCTTCATTGCATAAATGAGAATGTTTGCATAAATGAGAATGTTTTTCTTTCCAAGCCCTCATAAATACTGTTGCCAGGCACTGAATGCAAATCATGACTTAGCAAAATTATGTAAAAACACTCCAACTGCTGCAGTGCTGCCGATCCTGCCAAGTTTCTTCAACCCAAAAATGGTTTTACTGCCAAAATGTTTTGTAGTTTCTTTAGTTTTATGGCTGAAATCATTCCTGGCACTTTCCTTCTTTTTTTTTTTCCAACAAGTATTTTGTCCAGAAAGTTATTAAAATATTTTTACGCAGCCAGTCGGGTGATGTGTGGGGAAAGAATGACACAAATTTCTAAAAATCTACTACTACTATCTACTACTAATAATTTGTTTTTCTTTTTCTTTTCTTTGGTTTTCTTTTACTGTAAAATTCCTAATGTTTTTGTTACACATCCAGTTGTTTTCCCAACTGAGTTTCTCATAAACTCTTGGATAAAACAAAGAAAATTCACATTTTTATTCTTTTAAAAACACACTAAGAACTTAAAAAAGTACACTGGCAATTTATTGCCATTTTTGGCAATACATTTATAGTTTTTGGTGTCTGGAAAACAAGCCCTTTCAAAATCTTCTGGAATGTTCACCGTTACCTAGCAACCCAACCATGAAATGTCATGGAATTTCACTTGTTTTATTTTTTACAACCCAAACCTTTTGGCCAGAACTCCCTAGAAAGAGATTTTTAATCTCTAATGGAAGTGGTAAATAACGGTAAAATAAATAAATGTATTAATTAAAAAAAAAATTGGGTTCTAGCATGTTTGGTCAGCTGGGTTTACCCCTGTATGCATTGTACTATGGCTGCTGGAAAAGACAGGTGTTTTGTTGTTGACTTACCATCCAGAAACCACTTGCTGCGTTCTTGTTGGT